GATGACCTGCGGCAGGTGACTCCCCATCTGGCCTGTTGCATACGTTTTTCTGGAGGACAGGAAAGGAAAAGGCCACCACCAAAGCCTGTGCAAAAGCTTTTCAGGGATGAGGATGGATTTCAGCAGAGTTAGCAGGGAAGCAATTATTTGGAGTCGGGACAAAGAAAGAATTTGGACTCAAGGTTATGGGTATGCCTTGTAAGTCCATATGTGGGAAGTCTTGTCTGAAGTTGCTTCTGACATTCAGCATTCCCTGCAATGAGATCTTAAATTAGCAAAGCAAGCTGGTATGGCTGTGTGTTTGGGATTCAGTGGCTGAATAGCAAATGGTGCAGACACAGAATCTGTCTACACCTAATTGCAGCATATATCATTTAAGCGAAAATGAGTGTGTATGAGGCTTATACCATAGGATGCTATTTTTTGGCAAGAGTTAAATGCTCTCAGTGTTGGTGGGTAGACTGGTTGGTTTGTGCTGTCCAGTCACTGGCTGAGAGTAGCAGTACTTGTTCCGCCCAGGTCTGTGCCACAAGGGGTGGTAGGCAGCTGGAAAAGGGAGCTTGTGACAATTTTGTTGATTTGATCCCTGTATGGGCTCTTCAACTGAGAGCTGAACTCGATGCTCCTTGAAAATCCCTTCCAACTCAGAACGTTCTGTGATTCTGTGAAAGCAAATGCTTATGGAGAAGAGAATGACAGCCTAGGAGGTTTAGATGTGGGCCAGTTCAGTCCAAACTAGACAGTGAAAGGTGAACGAGCAGAAGTGATCTTCAGAGGAATATTGGTGTTCCCTGAGCCCAGGTTAGCAGCTAGACTGACATAGGCCATGCCACATGGGAAGAGGTACATTACAGTTGCTTGGAAGAGATAAAAGACACTACTGTGCTATGGTAAATCTCCATGAAAGCATATTTACTTTTGTTTCCCTTTTATTTGTTCTGGGGTTTTTTCTTTTTAACATTTAATCAGATGCAAATTTGGCAAACAGAACCTGCATGCTTTTTGTTCTGTAAAGCATTGCTGTAAAACTCAATTTTGACCATGCCAGAAAGTAATAATAGCAGTAAAGCATTGTGTAGGTTAAAGAACATTGAATAAAAGTGATCATGTGTAGCCTTGCAGAATCTAACGTAGTGTACCCAGAAACTGAAAGGTACAATTGTAATATAAAATTTATTTTAAGGGGATTCTGGAGGACAGAGGACCTTTACTGTGTCTCATATGTATTATTCTGATTAAAATCTGGAAGTTTTTATTTTTTAAGCTAACATCAGTATGTCCTGTTAATACAAACAGCCTGTTGGAGCTGACTGCAGCTATTAGTTATGTTGTCCTCCTTCAGAAAATGTCAGGTTTACTAACAAAATTGCTTTCTTGCCTTTTATAAAATTTGTTTCCAGACTGATGGGTTTCTTACCTCACATGGTTTTCTTGCTATTCATATTACTTTTAAATCTAATGTTGGCTGTGTGCCATAGAAATTAATCCACATCTAGATTAATTCAAAGCATACCTGGGGATTTTTCTCATGTACCAGCAGTCAGCTCTCCAGTCTCTTCTAGGGATCCTACTTTGGCACAGTTTGTTCTTTTTGTTTAGCCAAGTGGAATGTCATACTGTTCAAGTCTCTCAGGCAGCCCTGGAATGTGGACCAGTGACCCATGTCACCACTTGAAGGAATGCAGCATAGCTACTTGATTTCAGTCAGTAGGTTTGTTTTGGGAAGCACCTATGTTGTGAGCACCCTCTTCGTGGAGGTGTCTTCTCCAGCACTGGTGCCAGCTGCTCAGGGAGAGAGGAAAAGGGGCTGCCTCCCTCTGCTCTGGCACCACAAGTTGTCATTGTGCTGAAGTGGTGTGCCCTGACTGAACTTTCTGCTAAAGAAGGAAATGGTGATGTTACTGGCCTGCTACATCAAACAGACCTTGGTCATAAATATGAGAAGAAAATATTCCTGGTTTTGTCTCAGCCAGCATCTGATGTGTACCATCTTTGCAGTTTGACTTTGCAGATGAATGTTGCTTTTGGTGCATTTTCTGCAAAAACCTGGCACTTTTTTTGCAAATCCACACATCTGCAGATGGCTTGGAGAAGGAAACGATTGTTTTGTATGGAGCTTCATAATGTAGTTTCTGGTTGCCATAATTTTCAACACATCTGACCAACTTAAGTTCCTGTGTTGAATCAACTTTCATTTAATTAAGTCCCAGGTTCTCATTTCTGTTGGTTTGGCTGGGCTCTGTGAGCTATGAGTTTTAATTTTAGAATCTGAAAGATACTAAGTTTGGAAAAGAATCAAAGTCCTCCGAAGGAGAAGGGTCTATACTTATTTTGCTCCAAATGATAATGTCAAAAGGGTTTTGTAGTTTTTATTTTACTTTATGTTTGTTTTAGTTTACAAAGTTCCACTTTCTTACAGAAATACTAACAATTTTAACAGTCATGACATTGGTATGTTTAAACTCACAAGTGGGTTGTTTTTTTGAGAACACTAACAATAGTCAAAAACAGACTAACAAATCATAGTATAACAGTCAGCTGTAGTGGTTCTGGGTCACCAGAGCTTAAAAAATTTGTTGTTAAACTCTTTGTGAGTTTTATGTTAGTGGCTCTTGTATTGCAGTGACAACTTTTCCTGAACTGATGATGTGATAAGCTTGCACTGGCATATTTCAGTATATCAATGGAGCATGTCTGCACATCCCAGCCCACTACCCAGTCACCTGTACAAATTGCTCCAGAGACACTGAAGATCAAAGTGCATGTTGGAAGGTAACATTTTGATGCATTTAACTATGAACAACATAGATACATACTTCTTTGGTCTTAAAATCTTATTTTGGCTAACTATCTGTATCCCTATTATAGGAATGCTAGTATTTCTGCTGTTTCTGAAAATAGTAAAAAAAAAAGTGGCTGCTAGTAATTCCTGCACTCAGCATATTACAGCTTACATAGTATTTAAATGATACTTTTATGATTAATTTTCTTGGATCACCTGCTAACTTACATTAAACAAAATCAAATGCTTCCCATGTGATTTTTTTTTTAATGGAGTAGCTATCTTTAAAATGCAATGGCCTAATTTTAAAATAAGAAAACGTGTAATTTTTTTATATACAAGTATACTGTTGTCCTAGGTTTCCCCTGTTTTGGTAATAACCTTTGTTTTTGGGAAGCTCAGAGCAGGAGACATCTTTCTCCCATGAGATTAGCTTGGGAAATAATATTGGTGCAGTTAGTGATGGCAGTTATCATATCATTCAGGAAGGGGATTGGTTTCTGTTGCATTATGGCATAGTTTTAAAGAAAACTCTGTCAGCCCAACACCATCTTCTGATGGCTCTGGCACTGTCAAAGGAAGACTCAAAGACCAGATTCTCTGCTGCAGTCCCCTATTTTAAATGCAGTCTGCATTTTCCCAGCCCCACCTGTAAATATCTGCTCGTGCAGTCAATCATAGCAAAAGATGAATGTTCGTGCTTTCATTTTCATAGGGAAATAGGAAAATTGCTCCCCATGTACTTTAATCCTGCTCTGACTTTGGAACTGCACCAAAAGAGGCATTTCATAAATAAGCTTAAACTTGTTTTTGTTTAAGGCAACTTGAAGCTACTCAGTTCTTCAAATAGGAGAGAAGTTTTCCTTAAAGGGGCTCAGTGCAAGCCAAGTTGCATTTTAAATTACCAATTTATGTTAACATCTAAATTAACATTACTTAGCATTTAACTGGTAAAACTTCAACATATCAGACAAATGAACAAAAACTAGTCTGTCTACTGCTGTACATGCACTGTGGTAGCATGCAGATATATGAAACTAGCTTAGGTACCGAAAATGGCATCTGGAATTCTATCCAGGGCATTTAACTTAAAATAAATTAACTCAAATAAAATGTAAGGTCAGTCAAGTTTCACTACAGCCCCCATCTTGAGTGTTTTGTGAAAAAAAGAGAAAAAAGGGCAGGATAACAAAGGCCTTGACAAACCACTGTGCCAATGCAAGGAAATTGCTTTGGATACTCTGATTAGCTCAGACATCTATAAGCAGCATTTAAAACAGAGCCAGCATTAAACTTACAGAACTTTATTAATTCAGAGCTTGCCATCAAAGTTCTGCTCACAAAAGTCATCAACAGAGAACACTACCTTTTCTAAATTGAAATGGTTTGACCAGCACCATTAAGGAATTTCACAGAATATTTTCTCCTCATAAAAACATTATCAGCTGTAGCAAAAACAATTTACTGAGTTCTAACCCTCACCGATAGTTGGGAGAGAAAAGAAAAGGGATAGGGACACACACACACCCTTCTGAAGTAGGGTTTCCTTCTGATGCAAATAAAGTTCAAATGAGCAAGGGAATCTAACTGTCTTAAATCATTGAAGGAAACTAGTCTTTGAAGACAAAAATTAGCTGAGTTTATAGTAACCTTTGTGCATCCAATTGGTGTATCAAAACATGCTCTACTAGTAAGTCTTAGAACAACAACAGCTCTAAACACAGTAGACTGTGGTACATTTGACTGAATTCCAGTCATTGTTCATATGCAGTTCGATATTGGTCAGTTAAAATGCCAAACTAGATTTTAGTTTTAAAAAGCAGACTTTTTAGGTATTGCCTCTTATTTATCATCCTACCTAATGAAAGCATGGAAATAAATGAAGTAAGAAAGATCCAAAATGTTAAAGCAGATGTGACTTCAGGTTCTTCCCACTTGCCAAGTCCTGTCCTTCACATCCCCAGTTTCCCTTCTCCTAGGTGTGCACCCTCAGGAGCAGCATTGCTTTGCATGTACCCACTTGTATAACACATATCTGGAGTGTTTCAAGACCCATCTAAGTCCATTAAATGATTTTTACTACCAATGGAAACAGGTGTGAGCCCTCCTGAAAGATTTCAGTGTGATATTCCTCAGTATACATACAAGGGACCATCTCTTAAAACTGAAGATTGAAGTTAAGCACTTGAAATGAGGACAGTTCAGCCATAAACAGACATTTTTGCTTGGCATGCTACAGCAGAAACTTTATTCAGGTATTTTTGAAAATATTTGCAACCAAAATTAATTTTTGTAAATTCACAGAAATAAGCTTTAACATATAGGCTGTATACAACTCAAATACAGGTAATACTTTCAGCAATAACTTACAGATACAAACTAATGATAAACTACAGTTTCACAAAGAATTGTAAACATTTTGCACAATTGTCAGTCCTTTCTTTTAGGCAAAGTGCTCTTTTGATGACAAATAAATTAACACACACATAACTAGAGCAGACTACTTCCAGACAATACAAAAAGATGTTTAATAAGGCTTGTAAACAATGTAATAGTTACTTATGCAGAATACATAAAAGTGTCTTGCAGGTTAAATAGACGTACATACCTGGGCAAAAATGATCTTGAAATGCTTTGGGTGTTAAATAAAAAGTTCACATTAATATCTTTCCAATTATATTTTCAATACACTATGACCTTAAGGTTACATCTTTAATAGTTTAGATCCCTGATGAAAAGGAATTAGGTGTGACTTAGTGGCAGTTGTGTCATTGAATGGGGTAGCAAAGGCTGAAGTCCAAGAGCTGTAGGTGAATGAGCTACAAAAACAGAAATATTTGCCAGTCAACTTCATTGAAAATAGCAAAAGATTATAAGTCAGTAAATTCCACTGGGTAATGACAGTTCACTGTCCCAAACCTGCAGCACGTTCTGTTTTTCCTAACCCAGCATTTGCACTTCCACCCACAGCCTACCTTAACGCCACTTCTCTGGAGGAAAACAAGCACAGGCCACACATGCAACTCAGCCTGGTTCTCCCAAAACCTTCACAGTCCCTCCTAACCACAAATAGGAGCCAAATTTGTTGGCTTGCTGGGTCAGAAGACAAACAAATACTGAAGTACTTTGGACCACCCGGCTCTCCCCTCCAGCCCACTGTGTGTTACTGTGAGGGAAGCTGAAGCTCTCTGAGAATTTGCTGGATTGAGCATACTCACAGTCCATGAGATAAAAGCGAGGGAGCAGGTGACAGTTTTATTAAAATTATGTATTACTAAAATATGTGAGGTAGATGTTTAAGTATTTAATTTCTTATTCTTGTTTTAATAGTCTAGAAGAAGCACAAATAGTACTATTGCAGTGAAGGGCTACTGCTTTCTTAATGAGGTGTAGATAGCAAGTACAGTATTAATATATCATCAGATTTCTTTAATCAGAACTTGGTAAACTGTTCTTGCTACAGCTGATAATGTTTTTGTGAGGAGAAAAATAGCAAAGCTGTTATACCTACCATCCATGTAGCTGTGCAGAGCAGTTAGCATAGTCCCATCCTGGGGTACATAGGCAGAGTACGCCATTTCTTCTAACATGGGTGGAGACAACCTGGAGGGCTGAACTGCTGTGACAGGAGCAGTAGATGAATGATTAGGACTAACATGTTTCTTATGACGTGCTCTGCAATTCTGAAACCACACCTGAAAAGGAGGGAAACGTACATCACGTGGCTAGAACGCATTCAATACTACCACAACAACAACCTTAGAGCTTATCTTAAGATGAGTTTACATAGTTAATTGGGCCTTTGACACAATGCTGACAGTCCAAATGGAGAAATATCCATTCTAAACCTACAAGTGTGGTCAGGTCAGGAATGTGTCTTCAGTACCAAGCAGCCCACCAAGGACAGGGACAGCCACAGTGAGGGGCTGGGCATCTCCCAGAGGTGGTGTCCCCCCAGGCCAAGCAACATCACCTGCAGCCCACCTCAGCACAGCCAAGACACAGGGTTCTCCCTACCTGGAGCTACTGACAGCAAAGCATACTTTTCATATGATACCCACTTGCCTTTTCACATGGAAAAGCACACAAGATTTATTTTTGTTTAAGAGTTATTGCAGGCAGATACCTCATTTATATAGAAACACTCTGTCAGTCTTCCAGACTATAATGAGCCAAGGCAACTCAAAATTTATTTTTATTTATATTAACATATAAATATATCATTTGTATTACATTTTAAAATCACATTTATATATAAAAATGTATAAAAATGCATCCGTATGTGTGCTGAGAGACATCTTCAAGAAAAGATCCCAAGTTTTTGTTTTAATTTTGGTTGGCATGGGTATATATTTTAACTCTGCTTTCTAGAACAAATGCCTAGATATTCATTTGCCCCTTACGTCATACCACAACATGCTTTCCAAAAGAGTGAAGGTCTTAAAAACAGACTACTACAGTCAGAAATACATACTTGGCCAATTTCTGTGCTATTTATGCTGAGAAGTTTCTTCCTAGAAAACTTAATCCTCTACGCAAAGTGCAAGAGGAATACAGCAAGTTTTCCAAATTGTGATGCTTGTTCTAGACCTATTCCTGACTAAATGTGTTGTCTGAAGTTAAAACAGATTAAGATCTTTTTCCATGTTAGAATAAGCTCAGAGAAAATTGTGACTGAGCATTTCCAATGGATGAGTACCAGACTGCGAGTCAAGTAACTTCTTGCTGTTACCTGTATAACACGCCTGCTCAAGCCTGTTCTTTCTGCCAGTTTCTGAAGTGTTTGTGCATCTGGATTGTTGTCCTGAGCAAATTGTGCTTGCATAACCTGAAAAGGTAAGATATGAGATTGCAGGAGCGTTTGTGTTGAAAGCCATAATTGACAGTCTTCTCAGACAATGGTACTACTCCTTGCCTGTGTTCAGGAAATCAGGGTTTTTTTGTGATCACTAGTCCCTAGAAAGTACCCAATAAATTTAAAATAAATAAATAAAATTTACATTTTAAAAAATTAATAAATTGTTATTAAATTATATTTTATTGAATATATAATATGAATATAATGTTAGAAACATAGTATATATTATTGAATTATCTATTTAAATTATTATTAAAATATAATTTATTAAATAAAAATAAATAAAAATTTTACAAAAAAAAAATCTCACACAGCCAAAGTACAAGTCCTAGTTGTGACGTTTTCCAGAACTAAAAGAAATGCATTCTGCTTGGCAGTAAAAATTGGAAGAGGTCCTCTGTAAAATTGCATTAGAAGAACTGTAGGAGAAAATTCACTGCAAAGCAACTCAAATATACCCAATAAACACATATAGCAGCAGACCACAGCATAAAAATAAGACATGAGCCATGATCCACCACTCTGAACTAGTCAATCGCTATCTGCACCCAATGTTATGTGGAGTAATTGACCTTCTTTTCATCTCCATGGAAGATGCTGGAAGACTCTGTGTTTCCTTTGTCTTTCACCACCCCAAGAAACAGAGGCTCCACCTTGGCTGACCTGACCTTTTTGATGGTTTGGTTACAAGTCAGCACTTGTCTTAAGGATATAAATTACACTCTTTTTGAGGAAGTAAATGTCAATTTGGCCTGCATCCTGAGGACTTCCACTGGCTTTGAGGATTTTCCCCGTTTATGAAAGTAGTGCTTTGTGGATTTCTGCAGGGTATGTTCAGCAATTTCAAAGCATTATTTCCTTTTTTTTTGGATTTTTGACTCAAACTTTGCCTGGCTTCATCTTTGAAGATTCAGACTACTACTTTCCACATTCAGAAACTATTTACTTTTGTAATTTTTCATAGAATCACAGACTGGTTTGGGTTGAAAGGGACCTTAAAAGCTTATCTTGTTCCAACCCTATGCCATGGGCAGGGACACCTCCCACTGTCCCAGGCTGCTCCAAACCCATCCAGCCTGGCCTGGGACACTGCCAGGGATCCAGGGGCAGCCCCAGCTGCTCTGGGCACCTGTGCCAGGGCCTCAGCAGCTTCCAAGGGAAGAATGTCTTCCCAATGTCACATCTCTCCCTGCCCGCTGTCAGTGGAAAGCCATTCACCCTTGCCCTGTCACTCCAGGCCCTTGTCCAAACTTGCCTCTCCAGCTCTCTTAGAGCCCCTTTAGGTCCTGGAAGGTGCTACAGAACAAAACAATCAAAAAAGCATGGACATTCATTTGTACAAGTACTTTGTGTGGTAATTGTGTGCTGCCTCTCTGACGGTGTACTTATCCCTACAATGTTTCTCTTGTTGGAAGTAAAGTCTTATATGGGCAGCCTGGAGGACAGGTACTGAGGTGCAACAAGCAGATAGGAAATATCAGTAAATAACAAGATGCTACAAGACCTCAAACACGGGCTAAAGTATGTCACAATCTACTTTAAAATGTTACAATCTAAATAGAAAAAAAAAAATAATTATGTGGACGTTTCAATGACAGCATCTGGGAAGAAGCCCTGAATACAGTTCCCATCCTAATGGCTGATCCTGTCTCCCTTTCAGCTTCTGCTGGGGAAAAGTTCCCTTTTGCTGAAGCTCAAGCTCAATGTCCAGAGCCCTTGCCCTGTGCAGCTGGTTGGATTATTTCTTACATGATTGTTTTGCGTTAACACCACCTCCAGTCATGACTATAATAGGAACCCAAGCTTTAAACAACCCTATGTCCTTTTATATAGCACTGCTTTAACACCTCACATGTTATTACACCTCAAGATGAGTTTCTCAACTGCTTTCATTATGAATAAGAGGACAGACCAGCAAAACAGAACTCACTCTGTGACCAGAAATTCAAAGACCTGTTAAACTGAAGGCAAGGATGTACAGCCAGGATTAAGGAGAAAGTCACAGCTTCCTTCTCACTAGAGGTTAAAACTTCTAAATCTTGTCTCACTATCCCCTTTCATTGGAAACTGGCCTATCTTAGTCTTAGTGTTTTTCCCTAGAAAGCTAATTTAAGTGGAGTGGTTATCTAGAATTTGAAATAGCTCTGGACTGTCTCAGGAGTTAACTCTTGTCAAGGCAATAAAAAGACAAGAAGTCTGGAAAGCAGAGGAGATGCAGGCATTACAACTTCCAACCTATTAATGTCTTGAAGTCACATACAGTACCCATCTTTGGTACAACTTTCCACATTACATAATCTAAAAACTATTTTGTCTTTATTATGCCTGGTGATGTAAATGGCTGATTAAATAGATTTCATCAAGCAATCAGAATAGAACCATGTTTGTTTTTTTTTCTCCACTCTTCAGAATTACGATCTGCCCCCAGGGAAATAAAGAGCTTGAAGAGTTTCATGTTAAACTTCCAGAAACATGCTGTGTCTTGATAGTTTATTAAGTAGTTTAAAAGTATTCAAGCTCTTCTTTCCCCCTGTATGCATGAAACCTCCTATCAGTTCAGTGCCCACATCTGGAATAAACCTGAGTTACACAAGTTTTTAGCACTGTCTCTACCTGGAGTTGATCAGCTGTGAAGCTGGTCCGAGCTCTTTTTGCTGGTTTTGGATGATTAACATCTTGTTCTGTTAGTAATGCTCCTTCCACACTAATTCCATTACCTGAAACATTAAAAAGAAAACAATACTGCCTTCTAAACATTCACATTGATGTTTTAAAGTCAGACCGTTCTACAACAATAACCAACAACAGCTGGTCAACTGAATTTCAGCATAAAAAAAACATTCTATTCAAAGTTAAATTGATCTAGCACCATAACACATTATGCCCTAAGCAACTTCCTTGCAAGTGAGGGAAGAAATAAATCTAATATGATATTTTATCAACGGGATATGCTGTTACTTTCTTTTCCTTAGGATACAACACAAGTTCTACAGACTGAAAAAAAACCCCACAAAACAAAACAACAAAAACAAACCAAACGAAATCCCCCAAATGTGAAATAACTTACCATTTTTTTGGTTCAAGAACCTGTGCTGCCAGTCTTAGTAAAACCAGTCAATTATCTCTCTGTATGGAAAATGAAGTAAACCCCAACAATTTAATTAAATCTGAACCACAAACATAGTTCTTAGGACAAGCAGTGTGTTACCATTTTCAACTTCTCTTTTCAGATTGTCCAACATGCAGTCGTAATGTACTCTGCAAAGGACTTTCTCCTCAACCAAGGCGAACTCCTCTCCAGTTGAGAGCTGTCTCTTGCAGGAGAAGCACGCGAAGCACGCCAGGTGATACACGTTGCCCTTAGCCCGCCGGACCCAGTCGGTGGAGTGGATGTGCCTCCCGCAGCGGGAGCAGCGAGTGCCGTACCGCCTGCAACGAGAAGGGCAACGGGGGCTCAGACACCGCCTCGGCCAAAGCCGGGGTCCCGCAGGGTTAGAGGAGACGGGGTTGCACAGCTGAAACCCACGCTATGGCTGCGTTGGCACCGCAAAAAAAAAAAAAGAAATCAGCAAATTTCCATGTGATAGCTTGAGGCAAGACACTACTGAAGTACAGAGGTTAGTACTTTCAGAAGGCAAAGAGCAAAACGGGCATCTTAACTGCTACACGAATTCACAGCTCGTCATCCTTTTGTAAAGAAAATTACTCTTAAAAGCTTCAAGATGGAAACGGCAGACTGTTCAAAGTTCTTCCAATTTTTCAAATGTATTTGATATTACCCTAGCGGTAGTGTAAGCTAATATTTAGTTACATTACCCCTTTACTAAACTTTCAGCATCTTCAGGAGAAGGGGGTAAACCTGTACTTTTACAGTTATTTCCTCAATTCGCATCACATTATGATTTTTAAATAAACTAAAAAATTTGCATTTACATTATTACATTGGAAAATTTCTCTTTGAAGAGGAAACTAGCCACCAAATTATGCTGATTATTTAGATCAGAATTTGAACATCTTTGCCAACCAAATTTTTTTTCAAGCCACACAAAATTTAGTTTTTCAGAAGATTACAGCACTCAGCTTGCCCCCTCCCACTTTGTGTCAAACTTGACTTGCTGGATGCGATCTATTCACTGCACAGCTGAGAATCCCAGAAGTAGTTTGGTCTAGCAATCAAACTAGAGAAGTACTAGCAATCGCATCAAAATTAACAGCAACCATTTTTTGCTGCTTTCTGGATCAAACACTTTGCATCCTGAATACTACATCACCAACACAAATAATATTCTTTCTTGCAAGATTAGCCTATAATTTTGAAAGAATCACATTCTAAATCAAACTGATCACAGAAAGGTATGACTGATGAAAGATTCTTTTAAATATCATGGGATTTATTCTGGGTTGATTTTGCAGCTCCTTGTGGTGCCTTAAGCTGGACGCCAGTGAAACACTACTCCAAACAGATAATCTCAATTTTACATTGCATTCTCAGCCAGCATTACCCAAAGATTATTCTTTGCACATACAATGGCTTTACAACCATACAACATACAACCATAAGGCAGGGACTCCAACTTTTTTCCCCCTTGGTGCATACAAAAGTAAGTGTATGGTATAAATACAGCAGCTATGCATGACAGGGGAAGGGCAGAAGGGAGACTTAGCAGGTCTCATTACACAGATTTAGGGTCCCCCCAAATCCCTCCTCAAGAAAAATCAGAGTTTAAACTGCTGAAAATAAACCTAACAAGTGAAAAAGAAAGAGCCTCTAGTGAATTTCAGATGTGGCTGAAGTGAAAAGTAACAAGCAAGTATAACAAGTTATCTGATAAATTATATTCCTGGATGATATACCTGAAATAATCAAGTTTGCAGAAGATATCTTTGTCTTTGATGTAGCAGCTGGTGTGCCTTCCCAGGGACGTTCTGCAAACGCTACATGAGAGGCAGCGCACATGCCAGCAGAGGTCATTTACCTGCCAAAACCCAACAGAAAAATATCCCTCAATACTTTTACTACCAATATTGCATTTTATATTTTACAAACCCTGATTTTTCCAGAAATGGTCAAAAGTTTTAAGCATCATAATTCACAGAAAAATTATCTTGAATGCAGAACCTTTTCCTTATAGAACTGCATGTATATTGAAGGTTAACTAATTTGATTCAGGTCTTCAGAATAAGCTTTCATGGGTTTGTAATTAAAAGCAGTAGAAGAGGAAGAAACAGATACAAGTTCTATGCAGATATTTTGTGCCCAGTTTGGTTCCCATAGCATTAGAGTAAGAGAGCAAATTTTGGCCTTATGTGACCTTGGCAAGGCAACTAACTTACACACATCTCTTTCCTAGTCTGCATAAATTCCTGCCTAACCGAAAGCAAACACGACAAAGTTATTTAAAATTTTAAAACGTGAGTATTGAAGGAAAAAAAAAATAAGTCTGTCAAATAGAAACCCACCATGAACCACTCCTCCATTTGCTACGTTTGGTGAATGGTATCTGAGTTTCAAAACAGCATCAGGTGTTTTAATAGCAAATTCAATATTTCTTTAATATGTCCATAGCAAAACTAAACATACTCATTGAATGCAGTAGAAATCAGCATTTTGAAAACTCACATATAATTTTGGGGCATATAAAATAAATAAAATGAAAGCAATTATTTTAATTTCTGCTTTCCTATCAAAAGAACTCCTAATAGACATTGTGTATCACCTCAATAAATCATTTGACAACCCAAGACTCCCAATGACCACAAAAATTAAGTAACAACCCTCTGGATAATCCCATACTGTACAGGAGGAATTCTGATAACCAAACAATGATTAAATTTAGAATTTTTTTTTTTCCCCACTGAGCCAATTTCTCATCTCATACCAAACAGTCCATATATTACCTATGAGAAAGCTGATTTGAGGCAATTCAGGATATGCCTTTCATCAGAGCATGACCAGACAAACCACAGAGAAGGTAAAGCATGGACTTCAACACTCATGCTGGGGTCACTTGTTTCAGTCATTCTCCAGGCTGTAATATTGCAGTTTGCACAATGCTTTTCTAACCCTTATCCTTGTTGGCAGCCACCTTCCTATGCTGACAAGTAACACCACAATATATGAAACTGTTGATGATAACAGTTGATAGCTGTCACTAAACTTACCCTCCTCCCAACCATCTCTTAGAAAGGCTGCAGAGCAGAGGGGCAGCTCTGAGCCAGACTGAGCCTGCCCCGCAACCAGTCCTGCCGTGCCAGGGCTCCCTGGGCCTCCCCAGGTCCGCAGCAAGCTCCGGCACGCAGCTCTGCACAACGTGAGCTGACATCCCAGCCACTCAGAGCCCACTGTGTGATCTTCAGAGATCAACGCACTTCCAAAGAGCAGGACACCAGCAGCTTGCCTAGTTGTCCCATTTGATGTCACTTGTCGGTGATCCTCCTTGTCAATTCATGGGGCTGAATGTGGAAGGTGTGCTGCTGCTGGACAATAGCATACCAGCATCGATTCTTCTCTGCCTACACAAGAAGCAGTAACAGCTAACTTAAACTCAAGGCTAAATAATTTATAAGTATTTTGCTCCAAGTTCCGTTATGCTGGTGTTTCAGACAGGAGACAGCAGTGATCAGTAAACTATAAATGAGCTGCCAAAACACCACGGGAGTTCACAGAACCAAAACGGACTTCAAGTCAGTTCTGTTCTTTGTTCACCCGCCCATTCTGTGCCAGCCCAGGCTACTGCAAGGGGGATGGCGTCACCCGAACCAGGGATGTGTGGCAGTTCCCGCAACAACCCCATTTTAACTGAACACTAGCCCCCTCAGACATTTTCCTTGGACCTCCACACCTCAACAAGGCCTAAGTGGATGGTTTAATAACACCACAGATATGCTTCCAGAGGTGTCACCCACTATCCCTTTGCAAGCATACAGTAACTTCGTTTAAAGCTGATGGAATCGACCGACTTCTGCCATGATAGCTACTCTCACTTTTGAAAGGAAAAACGGCAAAAATCTGACCCAGAGTGATTTTAACGGCTATAATACAAAAGACAAATAAACTCCCCCCTTGTCGTCTCCCCTGCAGTAACACTTCATGTTTAAAGCCACTGAGTCTTGTTTGTTTAGTTTTTAAATTATTTTACTCGGTCCTGATTGCAAAGACAAGAAAATTGCCCTGCACACAACTCAATATTCCTTCAAATATATTAGTTGACTACCTTTTGCAGGAATAACTTATTTCCACATTCTTCGATAGACACTTTTGGCTTTGAGACTCACGACATTTTCCCAAACCTATTTCAGAATAATGCGGGTCGCGCCGCCGTCACTGACCAAGAGCGCGCGGCAGTCACGGCGGTCGGGACCGCCCGCTCCAGTTCCCTTCCCCGCTTCTCCCAGCTGCTCAGGAACACTCAGCCCAGCACAAGTAGCGTCACCCGAAACACCGACAGCATCTAGGTTTCCCTCTCTGGCCCGAACACGGCGACCACGCTGGGATTCTGCACTCCCGTGTCCGCGGCAGCTCCTCGCCGTCCGGGAAGGGGAGGGTTGTACCCTCGGATCCCACCGGGCCCTGTTTCCCGAGGCTCTCCGGGCACTGCCGGCGGCCCGGGTAGACTCTCCCTCAGTGGGCCGCCTTCCGGCATCAGCGGTGGGAAAAGTCTCCAGACGAAGGGGTCTCCCGGTCGGGCGCCCTTACCTTGAGCAGGTACTTGTCCACAATCTCCAGGCCGCAGCTACTGCACACGCATTTGCCGGGGGCGCAGCCCGAGCCTGAGGCCATGGACCGCGGCGATGAGGAGGGCGACAGGGCAGCGGAGGAAGAGCAGGAGTCCTCGTCAGCTGCTGCGGGGCTGGCCTGCGGGAGCGCGGGGAGACCGCGATCAGCGCCCGGCCACGCCCAGGAACCCCGCGCCGACCCGGTCTGGCCCACCGGTACCTGCGTACCCCGCCGGGACCCGCGGACCCCGCGGCCTCCGCCAGGGTCCCGGGGGGAGCGCCACCGCGGCCGCCGGACCAGCCGAGCTGCGCCAGGGCCCGAGCCGAGCCGCCCCCAGCCCGCGCACCTTCTCCGCCGAGCCGCCGAGCGCGGGCAGGTCCTTGTCCTCCAGCCTGCAGACGAACATCGGGTCACTCTTCCAATACATGGCCCTATCCTACCACATACCAGCTCCCGGCGGGCGGCGAGCCGGCTCCGGGGACCCCGCGCCGGTCTCTGCTCTCAGCGCCTGCAAGAAAAAAGTTTTGTTTTCAAGTGGGTGGACCTGCCCCGCTGGCCTCACCTCCTGCACAGAACCCGCCTTCCAGCGCGGCGGGGCCGTTATCTCCATTAGCGAGCCCGTGCGGTTTTAGTGAGGGGAGGAGGCACAGAACCCCCCCCCCCCCACACACACACATCATCAACAACAACAAAAAAACAGCAAAGCACCCCCCTCCCGCCCCCGAGAGAGCCCCCTCACTTGTCTTTATCTTCTGCCACAGCTTCCCCCCCCCACCCTGTCTAAGCACACGTTCCTGTTACATCTCCCTATGAGCGAAGGAAACAAACACGAAGGAAAGCTAAAGTCCGTGTGACAGGAGCGATTTTCCCACACTCCTGAATCCTAAAGCCCAAGCGAATCCCGTAGCTCATACACCTCTTTCTCTCTCTCTCTCCTTCACCTCCGAAACCCCGTAATAAAACCTTTCTCATTTAGCTAAAATAGAAGGACCTGAGCTGCGGAAGCGTTCCTCCTGCTCTGAGCGCCCACAGGTGCTGCTGATTAACCCAGGTGGCACCGCGAACACAGGGTGCGGAGGATGGCTGGCCCTCACTACCTGCAGAACCAGCCTTCGTCTCTTCGCGTAAAGGCTGTGGGTTACGGGCACCCCTTCTCCACTATCACAAATCTTGTCGGCAGAGTTCCCTCACACACTGGTGGTGCTCTCGAGACATTAGAGGAGAATAAAACAGTAGCTTGTCCTTCGCAGGTGAGGTAAATAACCGGATATCTGCTTCTAGGCACACGTTTAACCAGCCAGCTGCTTTTAATTAAACTTGTCGTTTAGTTTCCATCTTTCCACTCACCTCTGTGGTTCAGCCTCGCCTCACCATGGATGCAGGACGTGTTGTTGAGCCTCGGTAAAGCGATCTGACAGAATTGTCCCTAAGTTTATAAACATGCTAGATTTGATAAAAGGGAATTCTGCGTTTGAGGAGATGTGTGAAAGGAGAAACCCCCTATTGTTCTCTCTCTAAAAAAGATGATCGTTGTTTCAAATTCCGGGACCCGATCTTGCGGAACCGTAACTCGGCTGCGCTGAACACCGGTAAGCCGAGACGTCCCTTCAATTACTCGTTTGTCCAGCGTTTTTAACCGATCTAACCGTGGACCGAATCTCGCTGACATCCAGTCTCGATGACCCTAACACCGCTGCCTCAGCGAGGCAAGCGGAGCTTTGGGGTTTGTGATGGCCGTGACGTGGCTCGGCGCAGCGAGACCGACGCCTGGCCAGGAGCCCCGAGCGGCGACAGGGAACACGGACAACACCGGCCCCTAAGGAGCCCCGGCCCAGCTCCGGCCAACACCTATGCTGGCCCGGAGCCGGCTTTCTGGCGTCTCCCCCGAGAGTCCGGCGTGTGCTTGCTCAACTTCCGACCCGAATGTGGCCCCCGACCCGGCCCGAGCACCCGCCCCGCAGGCGACGGGCTGCGGCCCCACGGAGCGTCACCTCGCCGCCGCGCTCTGGGGCCCCCCGCAGCAGGATTCCCCCTTGGGCTCCGCTCCCGGGCCGCAGCGGTGAAGGTCCGGGCGCCAGCGGCCGAGTGGTCGGGCGGCCCCGCGGGTCGCGGCGGGGCGGAGAGGAGCGTTCTGCTCGGACAGGACCAGCGCGGATCCTGCCGAGCCCCCATCCTGCCCCCCCACGCGGATCTCCCCATCCGTGTCTCTGACTGACAGAGACACGACAGAACTACTGTCGTCTGTCGCGGCTAACACGACAGAAAATGAGCACCTGGCGGGGGGCTCCAAGGGATGCGTTGCGGCGGGGCCGGGCCACAGTGACGAGAGCCCGTGGTGAGCCCGGGCGCGGCGGATCGGGCACGGCCGGGAGCAGCGTCGAGGCTGCTGATCGTCGGTGCTTTTCCTGCGCCTTCAACGAGATAATTAATGAGGTTGGTGCACGCTCCGAGGAGGGCTGTGGGTTAGATTTCTATGAAATAACCCTCTTCCTATGCGCCTTTTCTCTCTGAAAATACAGCGGTAGGAATCAGCAAAATCAGTCTGTGCGTGGTTTCCCGCGGAGATCGTGAGATTATGGGCAGCGGTAATTCACACTGCGGTGTTGGAGGAAACGCAGCGCTCGGGAGATCCCCATGTTTCGTACCGTGTCGGGAGCCTGGCTCCGCCAGGTGACGAACGGACGCGGCTGCACTGGCCGCCCCGGTCTCTCCGCCCGCCCCGAGGCTTCGGAGCAGCCCCGCGCCGCGAGGGTCCCGGCGGAGGCGGGGCAGGGGACGCTCTGCGGGGTGCGGCGCTTGGCGGGGTTCGCCCAGGGCCTCTCCGATGGCTGCGCGGAGCCGTAGGCTGGGTCGGCCGTCCCGGGGCGCGGGAGGTTCGGGGACTCAGGAGGAAAACGCGCCGAGAGAACAGTCCTTCAGCAGATCCGGATTATTGTTATGCCCGGAGGGGCTTCGCGACAGGTGAGCTGTTTTGCCGAGGTAATTGGAGAGAGGCGTTATTTCCGAGAAGCGGTCAGAAACGCGATAATGTGTACACGGTGGACGTGGAAAGTATATGGGCTTGGTTATCCAGGATACACCTTGCCCCATGCGCCTTTATCGCCCATCTCTCCGAAGTCCAGTCTAAACTTCATCGCTTAAATTACACGTCCTCGATATTTTAGTGCATATTCCCTGCATCGTTTTCTGAGGACATGGAAACAGGCAGACACGCAGGCTCTAGAGAATTCCCGACTCTTGCGCACTCTGCTCTCCCACTGCCGTCTCTGTGCACATCGGAAGGATGTGTCTCCTTTTGGGGCGCCGAGTAGGACCCCGCGGCGGGTCATCGCGGTCTCGGCAGAGACGGGAGGGAAGGGGAACCTGCCGAGGGGAGGGCAGTGTGGCCCTGGCCTGATTCTGCTGAGGCTGAGAGAGGAGAACAGCAAGGGACTCCGGCGGGACCCTCCGACGGGGACTGTGGTTCTGATTCCTCTCTTTCTCAATAATTATACCAGGATGTATGTAGGTGGGAGCGCTGACCAGTTGCACATGGGAGAGATCTCTTAAATATTTGACGATACGATACAGCACGAAAAAAATACTGAACGCGGAGAATTAGGGCTGTTTTAACGAGAGGGTGTTGGCTTACGGACTCCTTCATCAGAGACTGCACCGTGCTGCAAGGACATGCGGCTGGGTGCTTCTCTCTGGAGTCTTCTTCAGCGACACCGGTTCTGCCGTTAAAACAAGTTCTGTAGGGAATTAATACCGCCACTGTGATCAGCTTACGAAAAACGGGGCACCGAGACCAGGGCCGCGGTGAACTGGGCGCCCACCCCCAGCCGGAGCCGCTGAGCACGGCGCTGTCGGTGCCCGAGCGGAGCATCCCAGCGCCCGCCCGGCGGGTCCCTCCGCGCTGCCGGCGGGACGGGCGTGTCGCATGCTTGGGGGATCGCGGGGACCCGCCGTCCCCTCAGCGGAGCGCCACCCCATCTCCCCACAGCAGCTGCTGGCAGGAGAGCTCGAAGAGGCGCGACGGCTCAGAGACACCCGTGCGGGATTAGGTTCACTTCCCCGGAAGCTCCCCTCTCTTGTCTCAACCATCTCTTTGCATTACTTGAGTGTTTGTACCCTACAAGTATCCAGAGGCTTTTCATCTGTAGATCGCCGTGTCTTGGGCTGTGGAGCCTCTATGGGCTGTGGAAGAAAGAACCGAGCCAGCGCCCTCAGGCTTGCTCTCTGTGAGTTCACACCCCACTGATTCCAGCCAGCGGTAAAAGATGCAGGGTTTGGACAAGCCCTGAATAATTGACTCTGGGCTGAATTAACGGGAAGGAAACGAACCCAGTCTCTTACCAGTGACTCGTTTTCCAAATCAATGCAATGTACTTTCCTTGGGTCAGACTGTCTGTCTCCGCTTGGCCGGTCTAGGATCTTTGAGTACTGCAGGCACGTAGATTTTGTTCATGGCTCTTCCAGTGCAGAGCTCTGTGTTAGTTGTGAGTGACAAGATCAGTCAAAGGGAAAAATTCCTGTTTCCGAGCTGGATTCCCGAGTCTATGATTCCCCCACCAAGACCAAGAATTTGATGCAATTTGCTTTTCTTTTTTTATTTTTCTTTTCCTTTTCTTGCTTTTTTTTTTTTTTTTTTT